TTCAACACAGCAAAAATGGCTTGAAAATAAAAAAACTGAATAGCACAAAATGTCCCAAGGGACTCTTGAGGGTTTAATGACCTAAGTATACTTGAAACATAAGGGTGTAAATCAGATCAATCGAATGAGGCCAATAAAGATGATCTAAAGGAGAAATTTTAATGCTTATTATGCAGTCATCATTTAACAGATTTCTATGGTCAGGGGAGAAGAAAGAGCAACAGTTAATGAACAAATCAGTAGCTTTTAGCATTGGAGCTCCTCGCTGGTGACCATTACCTGCCTCGCCGAGAGATGCAATAGATTACTTCCTGGTTTAAAGCTTATTAAGAGACTGTGAAAGCCACAGAAACAATCATGATGTGATAACTCTGTCGGGAATATATTAACCCTGGTAACTACTCACAATTCGGAGTCCCTTGTTGTAAATGTTACCAAATTGTGTTCATAAGTCTGTTGCCCCGGTTCATACTGAGAGGATCCCATCACACCTACCCTGGGATGCTACAATATAAATCAATACACGGAGAATTAATTTTAGGTTGACTCCATTTACAATATCTCGTATTTGTTCTCCATCGCCAACTTTATTGAATCCAAATTAGATTCAGCACTTTGGTGAAACTCTAAAATTAATAATCTTAAATATAGTTTTTAGCCTGTTGAAATTAAAAATACTCATCTCCGACCAAAACAGAGGGCTTCCAGATGACAAGCCCAGCAAGATCATGACATATCAACACACTTCTGTTGTATTTATCAAGATTTACTATCTGCTGTCTGTTCCAGAGTCTCGACTGAAAACTAAAGGAGACAGAGCGTTTGCTGTCAGGGCCCCGAGGCTCTGGAACAGCCTGCCCGAGGAAATCAGGTCGACTGAGTCAGTGAACTCTTTTAAGTCCCTTCTTAAAACATACTTTTATAGGAGAGCCTTTCCCGATCTTATTTGACTTTATTTTATCCCTTTTATTTTATTGTATTTTACTAATTTTATATTTATCTGTATTTTAGTCTTTTCAATGTTTTCATGCTTTTATCTTGTATTGTTTTTTTGTATTATTGTCTCTTGGGTATTATTGTCTTTACACTTGTTAAAGCACTTTGTAACTTGTTTTTGAAAAGTGCTCTACAAATAAGGATTATTATTATTATTATTTGAACCGCACACGTCATTACTGTAATATGAATAAGCTTTGAGATGTTGTAAATCTTCAAACTCCGAGATAGAGGTAATTTATACCCTGTATGACTCTCAGATCTTATTTTGTTAACAAAAGCCTGCTGGATACCTAACTATCAAACAAAGGCCAAACTGTTTATTTGAATCGATCCTCTCAGACTACAGCTTGTATTGTTTAGTAAGAAGGGTCCTGTTTCATTTTAACGTGCCCTATAGTAATATGTAGCATATGTTAGTAAATGACCACTAATACAGCTGGACAGGAAGCAGAACATTTGGACAGAGCTTGTCATCGGAGTCATGGAAGTCATGAAAACTGCTGATCAAAATCCCATTACGTTAATATCTGAAGAGCAACACAGGTGCACTGGTGGGCACAGACATGCATCTCACTGAGGTCTTTGCATTGTTTTCCAAATTCTATTGTGGGAGCATTTTAGTAGAAACGTGTTGGCAGGTGGGTTTATTTCAGAAATCACATCACAATAATTTAACAACACTCTTCAGACACTTTGAGTAACTGAGAGTGATGGAGTCATAAAAGTGTGTGTGTGACTTTAAGCAGAGTGATTTCTGCTTTGGATAAACTAATGTGAAAGCAATGAGTGAGTAAAGAGTATTATTACACTTAACATCAAGAGAGACAAACTCATGCAGTCATGTAACAAGGCGTTCATTTTTATTCTCTGCAAATCCGCTTTGTGATTGATTGTTACGAACTTCACTCAAAGCCAAGTGATTCATCTGGAATGCTGTATGTAATGTGTACCCTCCTCTCTGCGTATGTAAAATGAATAGTCTGTGGCAAGTTTAGTGACATTTTGATTGAATCCAAAATGATGCCAAGACTTTTATATGTTCTCATTAAAAGTGAAGCTCCATTTTTAGAGGGAGAAAACAAGCTGACTGAATTCATCTCTAATATGACAAATGGAGAGAGCTGGATGTGGATACATCCAGGCTAATACTACGCAGTCTCTTTTCCCACTTCCCAGTGAGAATCGTGAATCTACTTGGAACACATGACACAAAGAGAGGGAGCATTTCCTAAGGAAGTTACATTCGAAAAAAATCCAGCTGGACCAAAGCCCAAATAGAAGCTTTATGCAAAAATAGCTCAATAACCCAAAACACAAGCCTTTGTCGGGACCTACTGGATTTGGGTCAGGCTGCTTAATCACAATTAACTTTGTTTGTTGCACAAAAAAAGAGAAAATGTTGATCTTTACATCCATAATGATAACATGTAAATTCTCCATCAAGTAGAATGAATTCTTTCCTCAGGGTACAACAAAGAATAAAACTGTCTAAGCTCATGTGGTTTCAGAAAAATAAAATAAAATGAGGCCTGAGAAGTTCATGAAAGTTACATTGGCTGACTGTCCAGCACTGGTGTAAGCAGCACAGATACTTGAGCATTAGCCATTGCAGCTATGAGGTAATGAACAAAGAAGCTCTTAATAAACAGATCTTAAAGGTGTTTGTTCCTTTTAGCAGTGGAAGAGGGTGTTAAGCGTTCAGCCCTGCTGATAAAGCTTCATCATCAGTAGGTTTATTGTTCCCCACTGACTCCCTGAACTCTTGGAGGAGTTTTCAGGCCAAGGTGAAATACTGGGAGCTCTCCCAGAATGACTTAAGATACTAAACTGTGTTTCCACACAGAGCTTTGGCAAGTTAGAGAGGAAGACCAGAGCTGATTTGTCAGAAATTAACATGACATGTTGATGAATGGTTTTACTGCAAATGTAACCGCCACATACATATCTTATACCAGCTCTCAGCTTTGGGAAGTGAGGGCGGTCGGATAAGACCATAACCATGGATTTAATGTTGAGGTGAGAATGCAAAACAGAATGGAGCAGGCAGGAAGAAAAGATTTCAGAGTTCTCTGTTCTGGATGAATCCGTCACTGTTTCCAGGCATATTAAAGCTGTTGGTGCAGCCTGGAGGAAATTCTACCTTTATTCACAGAAGCAAGCTTTTATTCCTAGATGCAGCCAGTAGGCATTAGTAAATCCTCAGGCAAACGTGTTCTAGTTGCTGGTGGATTTTTTTGAAAAGAGTGCTTGGCGCCAAGCACCTCTGCTATTTATGCTGCGTTCCAGACAACGCCACTCTAAGTCAAAGAGTTCCTACTTGTAAACTCATGGCAAATCCATCTAACCCAACTTCAACAACGGTAGCACCCATGGAAGCAAATATTAAAGGGTAAACCATCCACTAAAAGCCTAAATTAAGTATATTTGCCATTTTTTAAATTAAAACAATACATATTATCATACAGTAAAACCTGTTCTGCATGTAAATTTATATCAAAATATGCTGCAAATATTATCAGGTAGCTGGTTACGGTAAACAGTCTCTGGAAGTCATCTTCTCTGCACAAAAATTATACAGAAAAATGTCAAAAATGCCAATAAAATGTGAAAACAACAACTTTTGCAGATTGACTACAGATGTAGCCAGACGGGAATCAGTCCCATATATTTATGTCACTCGTTCTCATAAAACGGCAATCTTTTCAATTAACACCAAGGGCACCGCTGAGAGTTCAGCTGTGCAAACTTGACAAAGAAATATCACTTTGTCACGGTTAGCCATGTTTTTTGTTTACGTTTGGCGTTGTGCATCTGGAACGCTTGGAGGTCGGAAGTTTCAACCGGGACCTCCGACTTTGACTAGAATGCAGCATTAGCACTCAAAGGGCTCCCCTTAACACACACACTTTTCATTCCTCTGCCCCCTTTCACTTCCTCTCACTCTTTCGTGTAACTGGTCACACTGAGAGTCAATGAACATCAGATGTGTGTAATCGCCGCTAGGATCTAAGACCTGGATGCACCTGTGATGTGCAAGATGAGACAATTACACACATGACAAGGTAATTAGCAAGAAGAACATAAGAGTCAATTTAACAACCTTGAAGATTTCCTGATGAAATGCCGGTATTTCTGTGATTATCAGTGACGGTGTCCATGTGTGTCCCATTATCAGACGACTAAGTTTGCACAGCTAGGATGTGGCTTTGGTCTTGGTTTGGGTCCAAACAGAATCTTCTTTCCCATGCTGGTCTCTTTGAATTTAACAGCATGCTTGGTATGGGACAAGCTCAAAATGTTATCCTAAACTGGAATGTAACTCTATATATACCTCAGATTGCTCTAATATGTTTTTCATTAAGGAATCTATGAAATTGTTACGTTTGATCAATGATCACGATGAGGTCAACACAACATACGTTACTGATACATTTTCCCACAACATAAGTTATAAATACAGCTTCTACTGAAGAGTAGCACATGTGCACTGTCCCGAAGAAGACACAGAGATGTAGCAAATATTACACTGTGACCTGTGTGTGACTTGTGTTTGTAATGGTTACTATGGGAATAAAGTCTCTAACGCTGAATAACTGTCTGACCTGTAGAAGCTGACCTTTGGTGGCCCTCTTTGGGTCTGACAATAAATCAAACATTAATAAAGCAAACCATTAAAGTGAATTACTGCCTTAGAATATCACGCTAACCGAATTCAACACTAATCCTAAATGTATTGCACTGCTCTCCACCAACCAGAAGAAAACATGCTGCTTGGTGTTCAGATGCACGCTGAACTGAGGTGAATATACACCAATTCACTTCATTTAAGGAATTAAGTTATGTTCTTTTTTATAAGTTTTTTCAAATACCCAAGGCAAAATTAAACTGGAATATAATGGAAGTGGGTAAAATCACACCTGGGCATAATGGGTGTTACATGTAGGTTAATATAAATGGGTGTGGTGGGATGTGGTCAGAAGAAGAGCAAAAACATGCTGAAACAATCTGCCAATAATGGTTCAATATGTGCAAACAACACATAGACACCAACGGGAATTCTTTTGACTCTTTTCAGTTTCTTCTCATCAGATGCCATGCAGTGGTACGTAATCCTTGGTAGCTGCTCAGCAGGACTCTGTTGTTGTTTGCGAAGACTGATGCTTAGCCAGTGTTCAGTGTGTCACGAGATGAATCAATGCATGGCTGTACCTCAAAGGCACACGGAGAAATAGGGAATCCTTTCCAGAAATAAAAGAGGAGAAAACATGATGTTATCCATGAAAGTACATCTACTTCAAAACATGTACACCATACGCAATACAATAGCTACTGTACCAAACCATCATCCGGCAAAAATCTAATCTTTCTGTCAGTGCTGTGATATGCCTTTTCTTATTGTTTCCCTTTGTTAGCTGTAGGGGGACTTTTGTTAAGGTCCATTGTGTGTTTGGGGAGTATTCCCCTCTTCGTCTGTATGTCAGGTGTCAATTACGTCATTCAAACTTTCTAAAGGTAATGTCTTCAAGCGTGAGTTTACCACAAAATCCTCATATGAGCGTGATGACATCAGTCCTCAGCAATCGGTTTTAATTTCACAAGGTCCATAATAAAATAAAAGTCATGGTCATTGTGATATTATTTTTTACCCAGAATTCTGTACTCACAGCACTCCAAGCCTAATATTGATATTGCTGCAATGAAATCAGCTGGACACCACTGCATTTCATTAGGCTATGCAACTGGAGCATGTGGGGAGAATAAGTCAGCCCAATAAAAGTGTGAGTATGCTGAATGGCTGGGAAAGGTTTGTGCTCGCATTTAAAAAAAGAAAACACTGGGAGTGATAGCGAGGAGTGAGGTTTTACTGCCAAAAAACTGGAGAGGTGACTGGGATTTCATCCAGGCAGATGGTCTTGTTTCTGAGATGGCTTAAACAGCTGAGCCAGAGTGCAGCATAGTGTTGATCAGCCAAGTCCAGGACCAGGACGGGTCGAGGTGAGCAGATCCACCAGGGCCTAGTCTGAGCTCTCAGACAGGACACCAGAGTTGCTGCGTCTCCCTCCACGCTTGTAACGCAGTCCCTCAATCCCTGTATTATGACTATAATCCAGCAATAAAGAGTTATAGCCGCAGTATGAGGTCTCAACTCGCTAATGAATGAGAAAGCACTTTGTGTTTGTGTTGACTTTAAACCACAGAGTTGAATGCGGGTCAAGGCTGATATCTGACTCCTGCCCTCCTCTTGTCCCTTGTGCGAGACTTAAATGCGGGACAACACACAACACACAAGGACGCAGGGTGTTTAGTGACATATCCAACAAAATCAATTAATATCCTAAATGCTGTATGCAAAGTCAAAAGAATAGAAGAAGATTCATACCACTCTCATATTTGTGCGTTAAATATGAAGCTACAGCCAGGAGATGGTTGGCTTAGCTTGTATGACTCTGTCCAAAGGTAAAAAAAAATCTGCTTACCATAATTAAAATGTTATATCATGTTTGTGTAATCCAACAAAACCCAAAGTGAAAACGACAACTGGCAACCTCACGATTCCAGGAAATCACCGTGTCCGGCCAAGAAATAGTCCATAACCTCCTGTGAAGCCACAGTTAATTAGTGAGCTTTAGAGGACTTGATTTTCAACCTTTGGACAGAGCCAGACAGGCTGTTCTTCTGCCTCTGTAGTTTGTGCTAAGCTAAACTAACCATCTCATGGCTCAAGTATCATAGTTAAAGCAAGCTTTTACTGTGGCCACAAGTGACAATAACAGTAATGGTTCATGCTAAAACAAACTAACAGTAGCACGAGTGGAGAAGAGTTATGGTTAGTTACCTGACACAGTGTCAGCAATATTACCTATCTAATGTTAGCTAAAGTTTGCTAACGTTAGCTAACATTAGTCAGCGTAAGCTCCTTGTCATACCAGACTAAGGCAGGGTGTACTGGCAAAACCCCAGACGGTATTGGATTGATCAAAGGTGCGTTTTATTTCTCTTTCACGGGTTTAATTTCTAAGATGAGGAATATGTTATTTTTTCTTTGAAAAGTTACGGTGCCACTTTAGTGCACCAACGTGTTACTGATCTGAACTATTGCTTTTTACTTTGTTGCGGTCATCTGCCTAAAACAAACACTTTAAATGACTTACTGAAAGGAGGAATTTACACTTAGATATCACTTCTCTTCCTACTCTGGTGTTATTTCCATTAAAAGCATGATAGTCAATAATACACATACTGTAATGCATAAAATTCTCTTGATTCATGCTCTCCCATTTGTTCACAGATTTCACAGAGGTAAATCTTCATGCAGCTAGATGCAGTTATGTGTGACATGTTGCAATGACAGGATTACAGTGTCTGAGTGACACTCACTGTCGTAATGACAAGGGATCTACTGTATGACAGAGGCCCGGTAATGACAAGGGTGTAGAGTATCGCTGAGATCTAAGAATGACCTGGGACTGATGGTGTGTCAGACGATATGGCTGCTGTATAAATGAGGTACTGATAGACTGCAGCGTTTCTCCTCCCTGCGCACACTGTTAATCCTACTTATGATGTCGGCTGAGATGGATTCTACTCTTATCACAGGAGGGTCATCAGGATTAGATGGATAGGACAATTTGGCCGGTGACTATTTATATCAATAATCAAAGCTAATGAGGACACTGTTATGGAGGTAAAGACAGAGAGTAAGGGTTCATTAATTACTGTCACACATATACACACATTGCAGTGTAAAGCCTGGAGAGCTAGGCTTAGACGGCCAGCGGTGCTGGTTTGGCTGGTGTGTATTTTGTGAGGTGCTTGTGATGATGAACAGTACAGCAGACTATACATTGCAGCAGTGCTGAGCTCTTTAAACTGAGCACTCAGCTCAAAAATATGAAGATGGCTTTGTAAGAAAGGAAATAAGGCCTGCTTATTCTCACTCTCAATGTCTCGGTTCTTGTTCTCATAAACTTTAAACTACAATAATAACCTGCAAACTATCAACGTTTTAAGCCGTGCACCTGTGCAAAGGCACATGCGCTCACAGGCTACCCCTAGGGCAGGTCTGGCTTCTATGATGGCACAAATGTCCCGTCTCTGGCCGGATGAAATGTCATTCCCAGAAGGCTGAGTGTTGAGGCCTTCAGGCACCTGTAGGGGCTTAGCTGGGAGAGCAGACTGTCTGCAGAGTGACACAAGGAGCTCTTGGGATCGAGAAGCAGGAAAGAGCTTGACGTGAATCTGGAAACAGAAAGCACTAAAGGACAGATTCAGCAATCATCAGCATTATTGAAATTCCTAATGGAAAAGACTATGAAAAGCCCAACAGGTGATACTAAAGGAGACAGCTTTATTGCCATTAGTAATGGGCTAAATTATATTGATAGTAGCCAGCCATAATCTGCCGGAAACAACCAAGAGGAGATCACAGTACGCTTCAAATGCTTTAAGTTACTGTTTTCCGGTGCTTATTGTGAACAAATTGATACATTACCTGGAGGCCTAACAACCAAGTGACACGATAATATCATGAGAAAAGTTGGATTATGCTCATTGAAGTGCATAATGAGGTAAAGGAATACAGAGTGCTTATTTCATTAGAAAAGGGCTTACTTCAAGTACTGAAGGCACTTTAAAGGTTACATGCACAGCCACATGTGTACATGTATGTAAGGTGCTGTGGTGCTCACATTGTTTTGGCCAACCGACATCTACTGGGGATCTTAGGAATCTGAAATAAACCAGTTTCCCTATGAGGATCATTCAAGTTTCATCTGGCCAGATGAATAAAACAAATAAATCACTAGCCAAAATACAAAAAAACAGTTTCCCCTGATTCATTGTGTTGTAATACTATACTACTATAACTACTACTACTATACTACTATAAGTATATTGACTATGGCAAAGATGAACACATCTGTTGTTTGAGGGCATGAATTGTCATTAGAGACCCTTGGTCCAAACACTCATTTTACCTGATTAAGCTTTTTGTCAGCACTGCGCTGGTGTGTACAGGACAACTTCATAAACCTGTTTCACAGGGGACATTTTGATTTGACATGGCAGAAAAAGCACAGGTGTAATTAATAATGAATCCATTATCAATTACAAAATTGCTGATTTCCATTCAGGTGCGCCAGGTCCAGGGCTTTTACAGCATATCGTGCTTGCTGCTACATCGAACAGAGCAATTGTTAGTTATTAGTTACACCTGTGTTGCCCCTGCTATGACAAGTCAATATGTCTTCTGTGAAACTATTTTGATAATTATTTTATTAATTTCTTCTATAGTTTCAGCATCTCAATTTTCTTCTTCCCTTTGCCTTATATGATAGAAAACTGGATATGTCCTTCAGAGTGTTGATCAGAGAAAAGAAGCTATTTGATGACATCTCCATGGGCTTTAAGACATTTTATCACTATGTTCTAACATTTTATGAACCAAATGAATAATCAATAAGAACCAGCCATATTAAACCAAAATAAAAATAATTATTAGTTGCAGGTTGGTGACTTCATGTATTTCTCAAACATAGAGTACCTCTACCCAACTTTAACCTAAGCAGAGGTCTAATCAGAATAACAGAAAACGTGTGTGCGCGCACAGGTGGAATATCCTAACTTCTATCATTAAATGAAACAAGCCACATTTAATTCATGACTTCTGCTAGGTAACCTGTGTGGGAATACCTGCTGTTGACTGATGGTCCGAATGGGCTTAAGGTTTCTCATACACTGAGAAGGTTTTCAGAAGATCTGGCAAAGAAATGAAAATGAATCTAGAAAGAGGGAAGTCTGATTATTCCCTTCTTCATATTCCAATGGTAAAAATATCCTTATTGTTTTTGTCTCTGAGTACTCTTCAATTATACCATTATAATGTTCATTAATGACTCGTTAATGATTTTTAGCCATGGTAGTGGTGTAGATCTATGGATAGATAATTGTTGGATGGATTTATGAATTTATATATTAATATGGTACAGGTATCCATGCTGCCCAGACGATGAATCACAGAAACACTTCATGTAGCACAGCTACGGCTTAGTCTTACAGCCGGGTCTCATCTGCTAGCCCAAACCCAGGCCTAAAGCAGTGTCCTGCACAGAAGAAGAGCTGGGCGCAACTGTGCTACTGGGTGGTAGCTCTTTAGTCTCTTCATCTTTATCGACTTCAATCTGTCAATCCACCTCCACTGTGGTCTCCTTACCCTCCGTCTCGTTGGCGTCCGTAGTATTGGCCAGCATAAGCGAGGCCATGCCGGTACTTTTGGTTGGATTGCCGTGAAATTTGGTGTACAAATACATGAATTGCAATAACTTTGGTGAACTTTTCCACTAGAGCCATTATAAGGTCAAAATGTTTTGTCCTATACTAAGGTTTAGAGACTTCGCCTTCAAACTTGAGCACACCCACGCCAATACCAATGCAGCCAGACCACTCTTAAAGGGGGCTACACACATCCATGCCATTGGACTGCAAGCCTTTAATAACAAAAAAAAACCCTCCATACAAAAGTTTATGTACATGGTCACTTACTGAACTGTATAGCAGTTTATGGAAATGATCTAACATTGTCATCTTTTAGTTTTAAATACATTACTTCTCAACAGTCAGCAACAACAGTACTGGATCAGAAACACAAAGTGGGCTGCGGGTGGAGAGTCCATCTTTGTCACAGCGGGCGATGCAAAGCAGCTGTCCACATCAGGACCCAGACACTGGTAATGATATCAGTCTAACATTTGACAATATTAATGAGCGACATCACATATGAGTGGGGAAAATAAAACTAAATATTGATTTCCTTTAAAACAAAGCACGCACAATTGTTGAGAGACATAAATAATGCAATAATTGAATACCAGTGCAAGAAAGCATCCAGAACATGGAGACACAGGACAAAATCACAGACAATAGGGGTTTGCTGTTAACACTTACAGTAGAGCCTGAGTGAGACATTCCAACAGAACACACAATCTATTTTTTTTTGTCTACATAATATGAGAATCAGTGGACTTAACATAACACTGATGTTAACATTGATAGGGTACATTAAAATTTAACAAATTAAAAAGAGAAAATAGAGGACATGAGGATGGACAGAAAATCAATTGCACCGTATCCCTGCCATGTGCTGTAAGCTCCAACTTGCCACTCTTGTGTTCCTCATCTTAAGACCTGACGGAGAAACTCGACCCCGTGTGGAGACTGACGGGTAGGTTGTTCAAGGAGAGAAGATGCTGTGTGTCACAGTTAGGGAGTCTCCGATGGGGCTACTGGTTCCAGTTCCCACCTCGTTTTGTAGTAGCAAAGTCCTGCCGTCTTCAAAGGTCACTGGTGGGATTACTTGAAACCAGACTGTGGTTGCATGCTAATGTGAAGCCCCGACGCACACGCATACATGTCGTGTTCTCCCTCCTGCACACACCCACTGCCATGTACCCTGAATGAAGGCTCTGGGAACTGTCTGAACAGTTGCTTGTACAGTCAAAGGTGTAAGTACTGGGACAGCATGATACAAGATGATTCACTTCCAGTTGCAACCATTCTTCTTGTGTGTCTGTTGTTCATGTTAATGATTCTATAATTCATAAAATGTCCCAAAAAAACTCAAGTGAGGAAGCGAGCAGAAGCTTCTCTTGTTAACGCGATTGCTGGAAAAACAGATTTGGAGCTGCTGCATCAAAACATTTTTATACCATGATTTACTGAGGCTGCAGTCTATGTGTGGATGTGAATCTTAAATGCAGTCCAGAGAAGATCATGAAGTTAAGATGAATAACAATAACTGACAGCAAATGAGGCCAAATTATTTGTCTCAATAATGGTTCATTGTTCCATCCAATGTTAATTTTTTTTTATAAATGTTGGCATCAAAAATAAAAGTTAAGCTTACTGTCCCAATACTTGAACTTTCAACTGCATTTCATTTAAAACTATGGAAATGTTTACAATAAGTGCAAATTGGTCGTTATTCCAGAACAGCTCCTATGATTTTTGATGCTGTGATAAGGGAGTGGCCCTGCCTTGTATTTGTCCAAACCCCCTGTGCAAGTTTTTTTTCACGCCTCCCTTTCTCCTTAGGTCCTTTGCCTCACTTATCAGAGTTCTTGCGCGGTCTGCGGAAGCTGGACATGTTCTCATTTAGTGCATAGATGCGCCTGGAGAACTCCTCAAAGCCAGCGACGTCCAGCTCACCCAGCACCTGTTCATCACACTCCACAGCTACTGCGTGGTCCACAGGGATGCAGCGGTAGTCTTCCAGCCGAGCCTCATCTGCTAGCCCTAACCCCAACCCCAACCCCAGGCCTAAAGCAGTAGCCTCTGTGCCCATGATCTCCTCAGCTTGCTCCACAGAGCAGTGCAGCTCTGGGACCAGGCTAACAGGCGCATGTCCTGGTACCAAAGAGCCGTTCATGGCGCCTGTGTGCTGACTAGTTGCCACCGTTTCCTCGCTAGTGTCCTGCACTGTCAAAGGGCTGGGCGCAACTGTGCTACTGGGTGGTTGCTCTTCAGTCTCTTCTTCTTTATCGACTTCAATCTCAATGCTTCTGCGTCTCTCCACCTCCTCCTTCTCTTCTTTCTGCTCTCCCCCCTCTTTGGCCTCCGTAGTCTTGGCCAGGTTAAGTGAGGCCATGCCAGCATCAAGGGAGGAGGACAGGTGTTTGGGTGAAGGCGAGGGCGGTGCCAGGCCGACCGGGGGCTGCTCTTCACCCATGGCTGTGTTGTAGCTGGGTGGAGGAGTTGGCTTGTACCTGAGCTTATCGGCTTCTGAGCTCGCCCTTTTCCTCAGGGCTCGGTCTGGGGAGCTGGCGTGGCAGGGGTAGCCTATATCCGAGGCAGCGGACACACCAAGCTGAGACTTGGTCGGCACTGGGATAGAGCTGGAGACATGGTGTCGGTCACTGGGAGGAACAAAGAGAAAGACACTAAATGAACTAGTTCTTGATCATGTATTTGATTGACTACAGAAAGCAACAATCTCTACAGCCAACATAAGAGAGTGGGAGGTCCTGAGGGGTCAAATGAGACAACCAGGGACTATTTGGATCTGGTTCTCCATTAATCTCTTTAACACCCCTCCACCCAAATCACCCAACTCCTTTCTCCTGATCCAGGAGAAAGACAGCTGCAGCTCTTTGCAACATGTATGCTGCCTGTGAGACTACACTCACATTCTGCTGACTGGAAACCCGCAGCAGGCGTCCACCCAAGTAGGTCAGAGATTTTTCTCTATAACAGATAACAGACTTGGGATCTGGGACACCCCACCCCGCCCCAGTACTGAAGTCATAAATTTACTTAAATGGGGGCCTCACCGCCTCTTCCGATAGTCAAGGCTAAGATCACTGGACTACTTAGAGGTCTGCTTAACATGACCTCTCCGCTATCTCAAGAGCAGAGGCACTGTACCGTTGGGATCAAAGGTGAAGCAGGGCCTCCATGTGCTCTCTAGAGATTCACACGTGTTGGTTGAAGAGTTGAGGACAAATGTCTGCTTGTTCAGTTGGATATGCAATCATAATAGATAGTCCTTATAAATCTTCTCCTGTCACTTTGCCTTCTTTGTAAGAGTGGCACGACATCAGTGATGAATAAATAAAATTGATATTGATATTGATGATAGCACTGGTGGACATATTTATTTATTGTGGTCTAGTTCGCTGTCTGACAGACAGATTCACCACTAAGCACATGACAGCTTGTAAAAAGGTCCCTGACCTTGAGCCATGCAGGCACCCTGCTCAGGTGGTCACAGGCAGGACCAGAGTGTAGAAGCCTGTCTAGTTTTAAGAGAAACTTGTCAAACTTTAAAGTGCCTATGATACAGTAAATGAGAAACATTCGTAGCCTGAAGGTACTGTTTATAACCGCTTATGGTAACAACCTGTAAATACTGGACCTCATGGCTAACATTAAATGGGCAATATGTAGTTTTTTAATGAAATCACTTATCAATTTTATTGCGTATTTTTTAACGGGTTTTAACCTCACATAACAATTACCCATTCACTTGCTTTCTCTATCCCTTGAAGCAGCCACTGCTTTGTTTTGGATATTAAAACCGACCCAGAACTGGCTTTAATCCTATTGGATAGGAAAACTAAAATTACTGCGTGTGAAATATATTATGATTTTGTGCTTTAGTTGCCGGCTAAAGCCAAACAATTGCTAACATTATCCGTTACAAAATTCTATAGTGGTATAGCTTTTCCACATGATTTCACCAGCTAATGGTGGTACCAGTTTTATGTCAAAGTGTTTATTTTAGCCTACAAGACATGATGTAAAGGTACAAAGCAAATGTGGAACTGCTTGTTTATACTAGCCTAAAGTGATGCAAGGCAGGGGCAGCCAGCTACATTAGCATGGATTTGGTGTTGTTTGCTTCGTATCGATCTAGATTAATTGTCGTTTTACAGATACTCAGGTACATAGCTTCTTTGCCGTCTCAGTTGCCATAACTTCTGTGACCCACATAATATACAATAATACAACATAACGGTGCAGGACAACACCACAGTGGAAGTAACGTTGCTTACTGCGGTCTGTTATACTAAAGTGTGGTAACAATATAATTTATGATATTCAGTCTAGCTCACTAACCGTTTTTGTAACCATTCAAAAAATTATCGAAAAGCTGTTGACTAAATGCCGTTAATGTAACGTTATCATGCAACAAGCATGGATTAGTTCAACATTAAGTTTAACGTCAATGAGTTTCCAGCATTTGTGTGATGCCGTCTCTGGTGTGTCGGTCTCTCTTTTGACTTGCTCAGTAGTTCAAGGACGCACACAAACACAAGCTTGGGAAGGTAGTGGCTGAAATGTGAAACCTCACCGCTAAAGGCCACTGAAAACTACACATAATAGCTAATAGGAGGCATGCATGTTGAATAGTCAACCAAGGTCAGGGTTAAGTAAATGAAGGCATAGGGTAATGACCTGATCCTGTGAGGTTGTTCCTATTAAGTGGGGAGAACTGGAGATGGACTGTGTTTTACTTGGCAGTAACTGTCTGTCAAAACACATCATTTAATACAACTGGCTTTAGCTTACCCCCCTAACAAGCACATGGTTAATTCTGCAGAAAAGCATTTTTGGGCAAAATGGAAACTATGTACTCTTTAACACCTCATTTTCTGGAAAGACATTTGAAAAAGAATGACCAGAGAGAAGCTGAATGATTTGCCATCTCAAACATTTATCTGTGACTTTCCAAATGAAACCATCATGGGCTTGTTGGAAACCAGTTCCAAAATTCAAAACCTCATAAGAATAAAGACAGATGTCAAGAGAAGTCAATTATAATTTCAGTAAGTGGAAAATGTGGTTCAGACTCTTTGAAACACAATACAGATTTGGAAACCGGAGACAACCTGCGCAGGACGAAAAGTTTAAGGTTTCCATGCATCATTTATAACAAGCTAATAAGTGACTACCACCTTTTTTAGCTTGACTGAGTGATGTCCTTAGGGCAATGGCTGATTAGATGACTTTGATTTTAATTATCATCAGCCAATTTCTTCCATTCCTTCCTCCAGCTGGCTCTCATATAATCTGCTGATTTTAGCTGGCCATCTACGCCACAAACAAATGTATTACTGACACTGGCATAAAAATCACATGGCCATCACACCGGTCTTTTGGTTAATGAGGAATTTTGTATTTGGACCGTGTTATTTTGTTCCACTCTGTTTCTAGGTTAGGCCTACATTTGTTCTATTATTTGTGTCAAATTGTGCAGCAGTGTATTAGTAACAGTGGAGACTGGGTGTGTCAGTGAGGACTTCAGCCAAGCAAACCTCTGGCCAGTCATAACATATTTTCATGAAACATTTTAACTGATGACATGTTTTAATGTGAGCAATTAGACTACACATGTACAGTATGGCCACTGTGAGCATGTGTGCCGATTAAGGGTGCTGGGAAGACAGAACTGCTGAAAAAGACTTCCTGAAGTTATTTGGAAAAACTGGAACTCATACAGCGTTGTTCTTACAGGATACGGCCCAATACTTGCATGAGCTAACTGTGCCTCTTGTTGACATTCTTGGTGCACTGCGTGAGATGTTTCATACTCTTTATAAACATTTACTCTGTCCCGGTTCTAAAATGTCATTCTCCTTGCATAAATCATTCTTAAAAATAGTTGTTGAACTGCGTTTTGAAGAGTGGTGGAATGAAATTCTAGGGATGACAATGTCTGTCTGTCGGTCGGCCCAGACTGAAATCTCAAAAACTATTGGACAGATTGCCACTATATTTGGGACATATATTCACGGTCTCCAGAGGATGAATCCTGATTTCTTTGGTGGTCTGGGTATTTCCTTGGGAACCACCATGAGGTTAACATTTATGGTTTTGCCACTCTTGATTTGTTGCCAGACATCCTTGAGCCATCTGAGAAAATGTCCCCCTGTTTGCACATTATTAATAAAGATGGGACTTCTGGGATTTCTGTGCAGCATGGATGACAAGCAAAGTGAAGTGATAGCTGCTCAACATACCATACTGATCGGGAATGGGCTGATGTAGTGATAGGTTTCCTCCACTGGTAGCCCAGGCTACCCACCTATAGTAAGACACTAAGTTTCACTGGGCCCCAGTCTCTCTTGCATTATCCTGACAACAACTTCACTGCACTGTAAATGCTGCTAAGAGGCTTCTGCCTAAATCATCAAGCAGACGACTTGACATGCCGAGACAGAAATAGCCTTAACCCCTCCAAAGCGTTTTGCCTGCTCTCTTCCTTTTTACTACTGATGTCAAACCTGGCATATTTCAGTCCGACTCAGGAATTCAGTATGCCAGACGATTCCACAGTCCAATCCTCTGACAGGCTTCACACATGCCAAAACAAACATAAACGGCAGATAAGATTTGGTTGTGTGATGTGGTTTAGGGAAATCCCTGTGAAACTGCAACAATAAACATTACTAAAAATTTGATATTCACTATGGTGGAAGTTAAGTTTTCGTTTTCCGTTAACGGGACATGACTTATTGACCGTCTGGCCTTTGAAGACAGGGAATGACGACAGCGCAACCTGTGCAACACCCTCCCACCGCTCAATTGTGCATTTAATTCATATTTCTACTGACATGAATATTCCCCATTTCAATGCATTATATAAGACTGTGTTTCATGTTTTTAGCAGTAAAAAACAAACGTGCACTGATTCGACTGACAAAATGCGAGTCGACTCTTCTTGACTGAACTTGAATCATGCGTGTTACCCGCCACTACTCTTTTCTTTTTATTATTGCTCTGCAGGCTTATAAATTATTTCTATAACTTTTGTAATTTCAATCTTATATTGTTTTATTGATTACTTAGTAACATCTATCAAGGGACAACAGACGGGAAAAAAACTCCTTTTGTCTAACTTTGGCGTATTTACAACAATGTTTATTAATGTGCACGGTCTCCAAACTAAGAAATAAATGTGTGTACAGTAAACTTCACTCCTCGTGATCAATGTAAGTGCATTGTCTGTTCCCTTCCTCTGTGTACCAAGTTAGTTAACTGGACACAAAGATCCTACTAAGTTCCTACTAAAGACTACTACAACAAATCAGCTATAAAACCGGGGTAAAACTGTACTGGACGTTCTAATAACATCTATGACATTTTTACTTTTTTATTTTAGAGGATTTAAAAGCATCATTTCAAAAATATTGAAAAAGAAATTAAACGTAAACACATGGTTGGGTTAGAATAATGCTGTAAACCAAATTGAATAGAAATGGCATTTTTCCCAAAGGGTATGGAGGAAGTGGTTTGGAGAACCACTGTACCTTTCCAGCATATCACATGAACAGAGAAAAAGGAAATATTCTTGATTTATCCTTCCAAATCATCATCCATTATTATAAAAAGAGTAAATCTATAGGCCACCTGTCAGGCTTAATGTACCTTGCAAATGCTTATTTTGGACAAATACATTTTATTTTATCTTTCATTGACAAAACTGCAGCTGTCATAATATCGCAACCCTTTGCCTACATCATGGAACACAAGGGGACTACCGTGGTTTTGCTAACTTTTCACTCACTTTGGGGAGGTTCACATCCTCCAGCTGCAGTGCTGAATCTGCCTGGCCAGGCGCTCTGCCACACCTTGCCTCCCTCATGTGCGTACCCCTGCTTCCAGGAACAGGAGTGGGATTAGGGCCCTGTGAACCTCTGCCAGGCCCTCAGCGGATGTGGAGCGGCAAATGGGAGCATGTTGAACGCGTTTGCTTTGATCTCCGTAGACTGTACAGTTTACAAAGAATGGGTTTCTGGTACCGTCTCTGTCTGCCTCTTGGTAATAGATTCCCCATTTTTACGCCGTTTCTTATCCTTCAGCAAGATTTTAAAAATCTAAAGTGCCCATTTTTCACAAGAGCTAGACCGTATATTATGACATGTTATGGTGTGTTTCTGAGACAGTACTGTTTGGAAATGTATAAAGATATCAGCAGCTCATCAGCAGCATATAAGCCCACTGTACAAAAATTACATACTGTGCAGTACACTGTTGCAGATTCATACATCAGTTTTTCCGTCCGGTCTGTATGAAATGCCATAGATGAACCCGGCATGATGTGGGTCCTGGCACTTTAGGAAAGGCTCTCCCTGTAGACTGGATACATGGTGTATTAGTTCTACATGGAGGGACGGACTGTTTCCAAATTTGTTCTGGAAACAGTGCCCTCGGTCATATCCTTCATCACATCATCTTTGGCTGGATGCGTGGAAGGAAGAAATAGGTGGCAAGGAGGACCAGAGGAAGAACATCAGCCTCTCTCTCACAGTCTATAGGATAATTACCTGCAGCTGCCATGTAGCTTTTTTTTTTTTTATAAATCCATATTTCATAAACTGGTTCCCAGTGCTTGAAATTGTATCTGAAGTTATGCTTTTTCAAACCAGGGGGAAAGGAAACTGGAACTGATATTGTTAAGGAAAGAGCAGTGTGTGATGAAAAATCAGTGCATATCCTTATACCTATTACAGGGCTTTGGGAAACAGTCACCTCCTGATCCTCACTGCGGGTTTAAGTTAAGTAGCCTGAAGAATGGTTTTATGATGAGAGGAAGTGTTTAACCACTGTAACTCTGCTTAAATGTTTGCATACATTTTAAATGTTTTTAGCACTGTGCAAGAGTTTTAGAGCAGGTGGGGAAAAAATGTAAAGGAAGAATGCATGGTATTTTTATTTTTTTGTCATGTGTGATATTATTTTCCCATCCTGCTCTTTTTTGTTTAATTATACCATTTTGCAAATTGATCCTTTGTCGCCTTTGCAACGTTATGGAGCTACTTTCAGTACAGTATGTCTTGTTTGTCTTGAGTGTTGCTTTTCAGTAAAGGGACATACTGATAACTTGGAACAAATACAAAGACAATATCACAATGTGCTGTACTGTCCTGTACTGTAAGTAAGTATTGATGAGTTGCAACATAGTTAAAAGTTGCTTAATAGCAAAAACAAATGAAAATATGTTTTGTTGGAGATGATTTACGATGCAAAGAAATAATGGTTGAAAGCTAAAGTGTACAAATTAACTAGTTAAATATTGTTTGCACATAAACTGAAATGTAAAAACCATGAGCCAAGCTAAGTGTTTCCCTTGCTTCCAGTCTTTCTGCTAAGCTAAGCTAATCAGCTCCTGGCTGCTTCTTATTTACCATATAGAAATGAGGGTGTTGTCAGTCTTCTTATCCAATTCTGGCAAGAAGAAAAAATGTCTTTTCTCTCAATGTTAGAACTATTCCTTTACGGTGTTGCGTAATATATTGCCTTAGATCGTATGACTGATCTCAGTGAACGTTTTAGGAGCTTATGGCTGCATGATATGATGAAAAAGGCAGTTGCTTCATACTCAGCTGATGACTTCTGAGTCAGTACAGGAGAGCTTTTGATCCTGTCCCTGTGGTCTCATTGTTATACAGAAGTGTGGCTGTGGCAAGCCACTGTAGAACTGTTACACTTTCACCTCCACTTCTTTAAAAACGTCCATGCATGCGTACACACATTTGTACACACACACACAGCTTCAGGGTTAGGGGGCCCATGCTTTGATCTCATCTATCTTTGGGCCCTTCCACTTCCCATTAAGGATGGGGGCGGTAGAGGGCCAGTTTGAGAACTCAAGCTTTTCATGGCTTCTTTCCTTTCAAAACAAAAGATTATTCAATTAATGTGTGTAATACACATTTTCCCCTCTGCTGACCCTGGGAGAGGAGTGGAGAGATCAAAGACAGCTTTCTTTTTTATAGGGCAGGGGAGCTGAAGTCTGACACAGACCAACTCTCAGTTTTAGTGAAGGGTTACTAACAGGCCATAAGACTGTAGAAGGAGAAACGCGAGGATCTAAGCATTCCACTTCACCGGGACAAAGTGGCTGCTGTAAATCTCATCAAATACTGCGTTTTTAAATTGATGATGTGCATCTTTACAAAGGTGGGGTGTATAACACTCTTAACTTTTGCCTAATACATCCATATGATTTCAGACGACACTGTGCTGTGTCAGACCAACATTCTTTTGTCAAAACAGCAGCTACAACTTTTGCTATAAATGTATGAGAACATTGTTAATGAAAACAATAAACTGCAATGATAAAAAGTAATACATTCCTGTAGAGTTATATAAAGAGCAAGTGGGTGGATTTTCAAGTTATGGGATACCGCCAAAAATCGAATGTATGTTGACAATTCAAAAAGGGCACAATTAATTGTTGCATTCAGTCATAGAATGAAAGACACTTGATCCTACAGTATATAAAGTGTTGCATTCTGGGTTGTTTGCAGCCTGAACATTGCTAGGTAAGTGAGTTTCTTCAAGTCTGTTTATAATGAGTATTTCAGAGTTAGTTAATCGCTGTTGAAAATACAGGATTTTCCAATGGCAAATGTAAAGAAGTTGAACCCCTCTTCTAATGCTTTTACTGCAGAAAAAGACCAAATCATCTGGCAAGCTGCCAACAGTGTCAGGAGGAGCCTAAAAAAATTATACTGCCCAAGAAAATCATTCCTCAGATAGTGAGTTATGGAAGTAATTCATGTTTCAGTTTACAAGAGAAAGGGCTTCATAATAAGGAGAAAGGGCTTCATAATGAGGACTCCCATTGGACTAAGAGGATCTTGGAGGAAAATTCCTAACTGGACTAGTATGAAAAGTACTTTAAAGTTGATTTTCAAAAACAAGTGTTGACAAAGGATGGGTTGTCTTATAATTGGGCCAATACATTAAATTGGAAACAAGTGCACTGAAATATACTGTAATAAATGGAGCCATGGTTTAACGGAACTCTTTGCCTATACAAGAAATTCATGAAACAAGGAAATCCATCATCAACCGCTTATCCTGTGTACAGGGTCGCAGGGAGCTGGAGCCAATCCCAGCTGACATCGGGCGAAAGGCGGGGTACACCCTGGACAGGCCGCCAATCCATCACAGGGCCACACACAGACAAACAACCACTCACACTCTCACCTAAGGACAATTAAGGGTTACCAATAGTGATGTGCGGATCAGTCCTAAAGTATCGATATTTCTGACACCAACGTTTCCTGCTCTAGGATCGATACTCATATAAAAGGATCGATATCTAAACTCAGTCATTTGGAGTGAGTGTGTTTTTTAAGTATCTTACTGTCACCAGGATGGTCTAATTATAGGCTACTCAGTTGATAGGAACTACTTTTCCTTCTGCCTGTCAAAGTCATGCTTGAGCTACGGCTTTGTGACGGAGCTTCTTTGAAGTGAGCCGCTGCCGCCTTTGACATTTCCCGCGACTGAATACTGACTCTGGCCCGTCTGGCTGTATTTTAGCTGTGAAGGTAATAATGTTGCTCTGTGTGATGTGTCTGCAAAGACAGTGAACTTTTTGGCAACATTGCAAAGTTCGCTAAACATCTAAGATTAAGTCTCTCACAATAATAGGATGATGTTATGAAGTATTTTTATTATAATTAAAGAATATGACAGTAGTTTGATGTCTTGTCATTATGAAGCAATTATTTTTATTTGGTAAGGCTACAGCCTACTCCTTATTTCTCTTATAAATACAGAAACGGGAGGGGAAGGTCACATTAAAATAGAAATAAAATATGTAAAAAGTATTGGTATCAGTATCAGCAATACCAGCCTGGGTATTACTTGGTATTGGATCGTATAGAAATTAAGTGGTATCACACATCACTAGTCACCAATCAACCTATTCCGCATGTCTTTGGACAGTGGGAGGAAGCCGGAGCACCCAGAGAGAACCCACACAGACATGGGGAGAACATGCAAACTCCACACAGAAAGACCTTCTGTTTTGATGAATGTAATAGGGATTGTAATAAGTGAAATGATGACATATAAATAATGAAATGATTGGTAAAATGTTAACTATTCGTATTATTTCAAAGAGTGACTGATCATTTTGTTTCTAGCATCAGTAACTTCTGAAGAAATATCTGATAATATTCTTACCATCGGACCAGCAGGCCATGTTCCAGGAAGTTCTTCAAGTTGGGTAGTGTCTGCTGCAGGTCTGGGGTGGTCAAGCCATGTTGATATCTCAGCTGCAAAAAAAAAAGATAAAAAGGAACACATACTGTATCATTAATGTCAAACAACCTACAACATCTTATATCCTACAACCCTACATATAGTGTGTGTGGTGGGCTAGCACTGCTACGAATCACTTATGTGAACACGTGTGCATATTCATGCACATGTTTGGATGTCTTTGGAGAAGAAAGAAATACCACCAACAGGAGAGGTCTGAAGTCTACATTCTTTAAGCGTGACACATTTCTACACTCCCCATCAGACTATTACTCATCTGGACAGACAATGGGCATCCTTCCCTGATAACAGGCATGTGCACTAATATGTAAGGTGTGTGGAAAGACGGGATGAGTTGCGGGTGGCAAGAAAAACCTAACTCACTGTTAAAACATCTGGACGAAATGGGGCACAGAGAGCACATTAGAAACCCCATTACATTCTCCCACAATCTCTCTTCAGTAGACCCTATTCTAAATTGTGCCGTGAACATTCCCTCCTTTGTACCACAGTGCTTTATTTCATGATGACAGAAGTCAAATTCGGTGAAAAAAAAAAAAAGAAATCAACATGGCCACCTTGAAACTCCAGCTCTGGTGGCAGAAATATCTCCTCTAACAGCGATATCACAGCAAGCCAACTCTTGTCCCGGAGAGTTTATTTAACCTATATTACTGAACAGCAGAGGAGCATCATGCCGCACGTCCAGCGTATATCTCCGAGGCCCCTCTGTCACACACACTTCCTGCACCAGCTGACATCTGTTTTGTTTCCACTCGGGTGCCACGGCAACCACTCTGCTTTTTGCACGCACACACTTCTGGTGAAAAGATGGAGGCGCACATGACTCTGACACACCACTCACCCAGGATAACATGCTGCTTCTTCATATATGAGCACATAATGGATGAGCGACGTTATAATAAAGGAATTACAGAGAAATACATCTTTAAGCCTCAGGGAGCAAAGGTCACCTTTACTTGTTTTACATTTGAGAGTTTAGGAGAAGACAAATGGTTTTCAGGGTATCTGCAGCCCTCAAAACACATTAATACATGTTTTCTTGTACACGGTAAATGGTCTGTGCTTGTATAGCGCCTTTCTAGTCTTTCTGACCACTCACAGCGCTTTAACACTACATCACTTTCACCCCATTCACACACATTCATACACTGAGGCAGAGGCTAAGGTGTCATCTGCCATCCGAACGGAAATACACATTCATTCACAGATGGAACAGCCATCGGGAGCAATTTGGGGTTCAGCATCTTGGCCAAGGATACTTCGACATGCAGACTGGAGGAGCCGAGGATCAAACCACTAACCTTCTGATAAGTGGACACCGCTCTTCCCCTAAGTAGTGTGGCAAATGCTGTAACATTCATTCATTTTATGCCATTACCAAAGTAATGTCTATTTAACATAGGTTAAATTCCATTCTGTCTGAACAACTGTCAGGATAATGTCTACTGTATGGTATGAACATACAGAATGGTACAGTATGTGTGCGACGTGTACAAGTGTTCACATGTTAGCATCAATGTTCCAGTATGTTTGTGCATGTGTGTGTTCTGGCCTCAAATGGTGCGTATCTGTTGGGGGAGCCATAAAAACAACAGTCGCGATAGTATCAGAGGAGTTCTTTATCAAAAGAAGCTCAGATTGAGGGAGGGTTGGACACAGGGTGTCGCCTCAAAACCCAGCTGGTGATGAAATGGTCCAAAACCTACGAGAGCAACATAGAGAACCATTCATGGCTCAGAGAAAGCCTCAGGGTCTGACCAAATGACGGCGCTACGCTGTCCACAGGGCCGGATAAACGGAATTGGGTTTGTTTAGAAACAGAGCAGAATCGGGCAAGGGGGGGGGGGGGAGGGCTTGCTTGTTTTGTGGCCAGATGCTAAAAAAAGGAAAATCCCAGTCTCATGGTAATCTCAAGGTTACGGTCTGCAAACTATGAATCAGAAATCGTGAATCAGATATGAGCAAGGAATAAATATTTTGGCTTCAGAAAAGGTAAAGAGTCTTTGTTGGATATACTGTATACTTTCTCTGATTCTCAGTTATAGGGCGTAACAAAATGCCACCTTTAAGTCCCATTACCTGGCCTGATCAATGAAGTGTGTGTAATAACCATGCTGCATGTCCGACAGGAGCTCTATGTCAAATTACACGCCTGTATGTCTGAGAACGTGTTTGAGAGAGAAAGAACATGAGTTTGCATTTGTATGTGTGCCTCCAATTGTTTTCCTTATGTGAAGAGATCTTGCCGTAGCGTGCAACAACTGAACAGAAACTGGATGTGGGTGAAGACAAGAGAGTGATGGCTGACATCACTGGCCCCAGGCGGCCTTTATTACTATGGAGCTCGTTGTGGGGGATTAAAAAATACAAGGATGTTACTGGGAAGCACATGTGTGGATGCTTAATATTTCTGCAAGGAATGTAGCTGGTCTTCATAATGTCTGCCTCCAACAGGCCAACACAGAGGAATTCTACCTAATGGATGCATGTTCACTCAAGCTGTTGCCAAATCTCTGCCAGTAGGGCACCAGCAACACTTGTGCTAAGTGTCTGGTTGGCAGCCACCAGCACTGAGGGACTGCTGCTTCACACTGTCTTTGTAATGAGATGTGCTAAACACATTCAGACAGTTTGGAATACTGTAGCTTTGCGGCTGATCCAGCAGCATATATCCTGGATATACCCCCCCCAGTCGCTTGAGACAAGCAGAAAAAAATAGTGACCCAGCTGTGTAGTATGGAGGGTAAGAGAAGAGAGAATGTTGTAAAAGAGGGAGAAATGTGTGAGGCAGCTTTATGACATGAAGATGGGTGTCATTTCCAATTGTTGGCGCCATGAAAGCTATGACTGTAGGATGGAAACAAACAGCTGAGCGGAAAGGTTTAGATTCTGTTCTGGAAATCCATACTGATCTTTTTGGTGTGTGGTAACTGATATGAGGCAATGTGTTATAACTGACATAAGGTAAAAAAAAATTGTATTTCTGGTGCACACAACAGGAGTCCACAACCCAGTACGGTAAGTATCTTGGAGAATTTTTTATACAAGCACGGCAATGAGAAACAATTTAAGAGTGTTTCTATGTCAACAGCTCCAAACCAGATCATACAAATTGCTCAGAATCAGTGCACTTGAGACAGCTTGTCATTTCTAGTTTCCCTTTCATACATCATTGTGATGAATGCTAGTGGAGTCCTTTGCGTGCTTGTGCGTATGTGTATGGGAGAGTGCTTTCAAGCTGGCCACAGGGTTCTTTGTAATGGGGCTAACCAGATCGTGGTGAGAAATTCCCAGGGCCCATTGAGGACAGCTGAAAGGCGAGAGGAGTTGGGGGTGGGGGCTCTTTCACATGATGACATAGTGAAATAGATCCGGCCAGGTTTCCTCGTTGCTGCTCACACTTTTGTGTCTGGACACTCCCTTCCCTGTTTACCTATTCAACAAAACCCACACAGGGCTTTGGAAACTCAGCAGCATATGTAGTGGGTAATCAGTTGGTATGACTGCAAGGTTTGGTATGATTGTGTGTGAGAGCATGACCGCAGCTGACCCGTCACATCTGAGAATTTGGGGACTCATCCTCATCCATCTCAAAGATAGAGTAACAGCCCAAAGAATGCTGCAGTGTATACAACCCCAGCCTGCCAATCCACTGGAGCCATAACCACACATAAACATACTTAAACTGACTAGAGCCGGCGGGAACCAGTCAGTTTACAGTACATGCCACCCATCATTTGGCAAAACCTGCTTGTTTGCCCTGAGTTCTGTACAGCGGCTAAACAAACACTGCCTGGCTTATGCCACGTATTACTGTTTCCCTTAGTTCGTCAGTACCAATCACCCTCAGATCAGACCACAAATGTGGGCGGGCTGAGGAGAATTTTGAGACTGATTGCTGATGATGTGGTGATGTAGGAGGGTGGCCCAGGTAACAAAGCACACTCCCCCCGCCCTTCCGCCTTTTATGCCATGAGGTTACTCTAGGAGCCGCGTCTCAGCGCAGACATCCCAACAGTTCAACTGGTGCACTTATTAGCGTCAACAAGTTGTCTTCCATCGTCACTGGAGATGGGCAGTTGAAGAAATCTAGGACGCAGGATATTTTCATCAAGAGAGTTGCGTTTCATGTGTCAAGAGGTTAAAAGTCTCCAAATCAAACTCTGGAATATCCTGTGCATGTCTGACCTGCATCACAGACAATTACCCTGTGATTTATAATCAGAAAGCTTTTGTCCACTGGGGTAAAAATAGAAATGGTTATTTTACAGAGTAGATAGGTTTTACTCCCTGGGGAAGATAATCAGGGAGCTCATTAGGTACTATGACAGCTTGTTATAGAGGGGCTGACCAGGTGTTCCTCCCTCACCATCCCTCTGGCCAAACTGTGGACTGGATACTTCAGCAGAGAGGTTGACACAGACATACGTCTCCACACATAGATTTCATTTGTAGAGAACTGGAGCTATGGGAGATAACCTGCCAGTGACAACATTTCAGGGCTGTGTCTCTTTGGTTAAGGTTACTGAATCATGAACAGTTTACATACCAGTGAATTAAAAAACAAGCTGTAAAAACAAATAATATAATAAGAGCTGAATGATGACATGGCGTAGAAAAATATCCTGCAACAAATTAGGAACATTAGTGTGAACCGTTCACGTCATTTCTATCATCTTTTCAACTGGTCCTTCTGGGACACGCCATCTATGATATTAATTAAGTTAAAGTGTTTGAGTGACCAGTATGTCAAACAAAGTGGTCAGTCAAACTGTACAGTCAACTAACCTATTTTTGAAAGAAAAACACCAACCAGTTACTGTATCTAGAAATCTGTGGACCAAAACCAGAGGCAGAGTTGCAGTCCTACAAGCTTTCCTTTGCTTCCATTAGAGTAGTTACCCACAGCCCCATAGTGACAGTATCTGCCCCCTGACCACTTCAATTAATTAAATCAAAAGTAAACAGAAGAGGAGTTGTGCATAAAGAC